TCTCGCCCCCTCCCCACTGACTCCTCTCCCCCTCCCACCTCGCCCCCTCCCCACTGACTCGTCTCCCCTGCCCCCCGCCCCGTTTTCCCATCTCGCTGCTTTCCAAATCGCCCCCTCCCCACTGGCTCCTCTGGCTGCCCCCTTTTCCTTCTCTCGCTCCCTCATCACAGCGGGGTGGGGGCCGCTGAGGGCTGATTTCGTCCAAATCCCTCATTTTACAGATGTGGAAACTGAGTCCTCCGGGCGGGGAGTGAGGGGAGCGGGAGGGCGGTTTTACCTCGGGCGGCTCCGGCCTCGGCCCGGCCCGGTCCTGCCGAAGCTCTGGTCCCCAGTCCGGCCGCCGCTGCCGCTGCCGCTGCCGCTACCGCTGCGGCCCCGGCTCTGCCTTCTCCGCCTCCTCCTCCAGCCCCGCAGGCGGCAGCGGCGGCTGGGGCAGCGAGGCGGGGCCCACACCGGAAGCGGCGCCGGGGGCCGGGGCGGGGCAGGGCAGGCGGGCGGGGCGGGGGAAGGGAGAGGAGGGAGGGGGAGGGGGAGGGGCGGGAGAGAGAGGGAAGGGGAGGAAGAGCGGGGCGAGGGGGAGGGCGGTGGGGGTTGGGGGGAGGTGGGGCCCGAGGCCGGAAGAGGAGGTGGAGAGAGGCCTGGCCGGAAGTGACTCCTCCTCCGGAGGGAGTGAAAGAAAAAAAGGAGGGGAGGAGCAGGACGGGAGCGGGGTCTGGGGCGGAAATGAACGGTAAATTCTTCGGCCAATGGGAGGTTAGAGTAGGATGGCATTCCGGTTCCGGTGTGAGCGCGCCCGGCGGTGAGTTTAAAACCGGGGCGCGCGCCCTGGCTGAGTGACATAGCAGTCGCAGCCGTCGTCGGATGCGGGACGGGCGCCTACGGCTGTGCCAGCGTGAGGTAAACGGGATTGGGCTGAGATGCGGAGCGGCCGGGGAAGGAGGGGGAAGGGCGAGGGGCGCCATGTAGGAAGGCGTAGTGAAAGGAGGTGGAGGACGGAGACGAGCAGGCCCGATCCGCCCGGCCTCTTAAGCTCGCATTCTGTGCCGCCACACCGGTGACTCATCAGCCTCGCGCCGCCCCGCGGAGCTGCAGAGCCCGAGGCCTGCGTTCTGCTCCCCCTCTCGGAGGCCCGGACGTCCGTAGGCCTCTCGGACCCCGGCGCCGCCTCGGGAGAGGTGCCCACGCTAGGCCCCTTCCTGCCTGTCCCGGGAGGCCCCAGCGGTGACCCCGCCATGGCCCTTCTCTTCATCCGTAATCCAGGCAGGCTAGATGTGGGGTGAATCCGGGCATCTGCCCTGAGCAGGCGTTGTCTGGGGAGAAATGAGCAGGTCCCAGCCTAGAGTCTAACCCGTTCTCCACCGTCTCTACCCTAGTTTTACAGGCGCATTCCAAAATGGCTGATGAAGAAATTGCTGCCCTTGTGGTAGACAACGGCTCTGGCATGTGCAAGGCTGGCTTTGCCGGAGATGATGCCCCTCGGGCTGTGTTTCCTTCCATCGTGGGTCGCCCCAGGCACCAAGGAGTCATGGTTGGCATGGGGCAGAAGGATAGCTATGTGGGTGATGAGGCCCAGAGTAAAAGGGGCATCCTTACCCTGAAGTATCCAATTGAGCATGGTATTGTCACCAACTGGGATGACATGGAAAAAATCTGGCACCACACTTTCTACAACGAGCTCAGAGTAGCCCCAGAGGAGCACCCTGTTCTGCTCACAGAAGCACCTCTGAACCCAAAGGCCAATAGAGAGAAGATGACACAAATCATGTTTGAGACCTTCAACACTCCAGCAATGTATGTGGCCATCCAGGCAGTGCTGTCTCTCTATGCTTCTGGTCGTACCACAGGTATTGTGATGGATTCTGGGGATGGGGTCACTCACACTGTCCCTATCTATGAAGGTTATGCCCTTCCACATGCTATCCTGCGTTTAGACCTGGCTGGTCGGGACCTCACCGACTACCTCATGAAGATTTTGACTGAAAGAGGCTACAGCTTCACCACAACAGCTGAGAGGGAGATTGTGAGGGATGTCAAAGAGAAGCTGTGTTATGTTGCCCTGGACTTCGAGCAAGAAATGGCCACTGCAGCTTCTTCTTCCTCCTTAGAGAAGAGCTATGAGCTACCTGATGGTCAAGTCATTACCATTGGCAATGAGAGGTTCCGATGCCCTGAATCTATCTTTCAGCCTTCTTTCCTGGGAATGGAGTCCTGTGGGATTCATGAGACCACCTACAATTCCATTATGAAGTGTGATGTTGACATCCGAAAGGATCTGTATGCTAATACAGTGTTATCTGGTGGTACCACTATGTATCCTGGCATTGCTGACAGAATGCAGAAGGAGATCACAGCCCTGGCTCCAAGCACCATGAAAATCAAAATCATTGCTCCACCTGAACGAAAATATTCAGTCTGGATTGGAGGCTCCATTTTGGCTTCTCTCTCTACCTTCCAGCAGATGTGGATCAGCAAGCAGGAATATGATGAGTCTGGTCCTTCTATTGTCCACCGGAAATGCTTTTAATTAACTTTGGTTACCTAATCCTTGTTACTTGCAGGTATATATGTGCCAGGTCAGATGTTTACATAGACCACAAATGGACCAAATGTTTGTGAAAATGCCCATGAGAAGCTTGTTCCATTAACTTTTTATTTATTTATTTGACCTTCTTGTGATATTTGTTTTCTTTAAGTACATTTAGTACATCAATAGAGGTGGATTGTTTACACTGCAGTTGTTAATAATTTGTTATGTGCTTGTGCTACTACTCCTGGCAAACTGAAGTTTCAGGAACTTAGATTTGACTGTGGTAGATATTGCTCTAAATAGAACTGTAATTAACATTGTTCTGTTAATGTAAAATAAAAATTCTGCAATTAAAAATTCCAATTTTGCCTAGTCTACCATAAGCATAAAGAGAAGTCTGCCAAAATAAAATTGTTACTTGCCACAGTGAAAGTGCCCTGAGTGTGATAAAGCAGCTATTCCTTTCTAGGTATTGTATGTATTTACTCCTTCAGCTGCTTCCCTATAAATGCAAGTAAGAAGGTAGTAAATTTTAGCTCCTTAACCTTACCTTTTAGCAAGGAAATTGTCTGTTGTGAATGCCAATCAAATTCCTAACTCAGTTTACCTCAATACAAGTACTGTTCAGCCTTCATTTACCATTATAGCAGAGAGTCACAGACTTTTTTTTCCCCTAAGTTTATTACATGAAAATTTGAAGTCATTTTTAAGTATTCAAGAAATATTCTTAGAACCTGTAAAGGGTTTTTAAAATTTTGATTTGTATTTCAAATAAACAGTTTGCTAATCCTGATATAAAATTAGATCTGAGCCTAAGGCTAAAAGGATTTTTCCAGATTGTAATTTTCCTTTGACTGTGTGTGTGTGTGTGTGATTAATTTCCACAAAGGAAATTGTCCTACTTGGGAGAAATGAGTTCTAGCTTACATCTAAATTTTCCAAATGAATGTAGTAGGAATAGTATACATCATTTCTTGAACAAACATTTCAGTACCAGTTGTATGCATAGTGCTTTGAACTAGGCAACAACATTAGTGCCAAGCTAAACGGAACAAAGTGTTTGCTATCCTCAAGTTCAGTCCATTTAGGTGGATAAAACAAGTCATTAACAGTTACATGATAAGTTCGCCAGAAAAGGCAGAAGAAAGTTAGCTGAACTTCAAAGGAGAAAAGTCAAGGAAAGGCTATACGTAGGCTGTGAGATTTGAGTTGAGTTTTAAGAGGACGGTCTGTACCTGTGATTATAGGGATCTCCTGGCTGGAGAATCTCCCTGTAGCAATGCAGATTGGCACCTCCACAATTCATAGTTTAGACAGTGTCAGGTGGGACTTAAATGCCAAGTCTTCTGACTTCCAAGGCCAGCTTTATTCGTTTTACCACCTTGGCTTTAGGGGCCACAGGAAGTCAGCCGATTAAAAAAGATCTCTAGACATAGGGCAGCATGCAGAGTAAGATTAAAGATTATTGTATTTTAAGATTTAGAGCTGGAAGAGAATTTAGGTGTCAACTAACCCAATCCTCAAGCCACTCCATCTCCCCGTTTTAACAGGTGAGGAAACAGACCCAGAGAGTCTTCCTAGTCTCTAGTCTTAATCAAGACTGCCTTAAGGTGACATCTTTCCTTTGTAGCATGTTATATTAGCACTAATCAGCAAAGTAAAAATTCCTACTTCTGAGTCCCAATAATTTTTATTCTTAACCAGAAAGGCTAAATAACTTGCCAGTTGTCTCATAGGAAAGAAGTAACTAAGGCTGTATTCAAACCCAAGTCACCAGACTGTTAAGTCCTCCAATCTTTCACTGTGTAGTCATACTGTGTAGTACACTTTCACTTGTGTAGTCACAATGCAGCACCAATTGACATAGGGTATATAAGGGGTTTGTAAAAACTAGAGGCTCCTTATACAAGTACAAATATTTTTTCTGCACTTCAATTCCAAAAACAATGAGAAATGAGTACTTTATGTCCATGTTAGGAAATAACTAATTGTTTCATGACTATTGTAATGGGATAAGCAGTTTGGCTTTCCCATGGGGCAGGAAGCTATTGAATCATTAGTTAGCTAAAGATTACATTTTGCATTGCTCTTTATTCTGTGTGACCTCTGCATTGTCGATCTTAATTCAGTTGGAAGCATTGAACTAAGCCGTTCATTATATTAAAATGCCATAGCCAGTTCTCTGAAAGAATGCATTCAAAAGAGGACATGTCTGACCTCTTGTACTGAATATAGGCCAGGAACTTAGTTCTAGCCTCTCAATCATTTAAAATTATGTGCCCTCTTCCTTTGGTTTGTAAAACGAATAGATCACAGGAAAGATGATGCTTAGCCAATAAGTGCTTTGATAATAGGCATGAAAAAGTTAATGGTATGTATGATAAAAAGTTTGCATGTTTACTGATTAGAAGGTTAATGATTAGGTTTTTCCCCCTTTTCCTAATGCCTGAAGAATGTCATTTGCAAAGCCTCTTAATTGCTTAATAAATAATGAGAAATTTGTATTAAGGAATGAAAAATTCACAAATTCTTGAGCTTGGTTATCTACCTTCATATTACTGTTAATGACAACACTCCAAAAACCCAAAGTTTCATTAGGACTACCTAGTTCAAACTAACGGGAGAGACTTAAGACTGGTGTCAGAATTCTCAAAGTTCTCCATAAGTGAGGTGTTCTTTTCTCCATTGGTGCAACAGGAAACAAAACTTGACTTTGGATAATTTGATTTGAATTCAAGAGATCAGTCCAAGTATTTAATACATTTCCAAGAACAGTGCATCAGGACTTGAAGTGCTCC